GACAAATACAGTATGCACTCACTCATAAGCAGATATCAAACATAAAGCAAAGAATAACCAGCTTATAGTTCACAAGCCCAGAGAAGCTAGAACCCTCATCCAGAAACATATGGAAGCAGATGCAGAGATCCACAGCTAACCACTGGGTCGAGCTCCTGGAGTACAGTGGAAGAGAGGGAGGAACAACAATATGAACACAGGGGTCAAGACCATGATGAGGAAACCCACAAAGTCAGCTAACCCGAGCTAGTGGGAGCTTACTGACTCTGGACTGACAACTGGGGAACCTGCATAGGACTGAACCAGGCCCCCTGAATGCATGTGACAATGGTGTGTGTGGCTCGGGCAGTATGTGGAGTCACTGGCAGTGGGAGCAGGATCTAACCCTAGCGCATGAACTGACTTTGTAGAGCCCATGCTCTATGGAGAGATACCTTGCTCAGCCTAGACATGAAGGTTGGGTGGTGTGGGGCTTGGTCCTGTTTCAAGGAAGTGATGGGGCAGACTTAGTTGACTTCCCAGGGAGGCCTTACCCTCTCTGAGGAGCAGAGGAGCAGATGGGGGTGGGGTGGGAGGAAGGTGGTGGGGGTAGGGAGAGGAAGGGAGAAAGAGGGAACTGGAATTGTTATGTAAAATAGATAAATAAATAAATCTGTAAGAAGAAATCATCTCATAGTAAAATGCCCAGTAGAATGGGATAGTTCCAAAAGATTATTGTACTTCATTAAGGGCAGTGGGGATCTCCCCAAGTCCATTCACGCCATGCCAGACACCAGAGAAAAATGGCAGCTCCAAACATGCAAAGACACAGCACTAGCAAGAAACATTCTGGGGCCAAGGCTGGTAGGGCCTTGCCTGAGATTCACCCAGCAGGCTTTTGTTTCCTGGTGGGCTGGTCTCCTGACGTCCAATTGCCATTTGCTGCTCCTCTGACATGGGGACATCAGCAATTCTGTGCACTTATTAGAAAAAATATCTGGTGACTAGAGATAAAGATGATCTTTCTAGTAAGCACCTCGTTAGCACTAAGGCAGCGATCTACCCCTGGGGGTATTTCCCTTTGCAGGCAACTGGGAAGTTCTCAGGAGCTGTGTGTCAGGTAGCAGGGGAATATGCAGAGTGAAGGAGCCGGGTGTTTCTTCTGAGAAAGAGGCCAGCTGGGGATGCCCAGAGAACAAAGCAAACAGGGAGGGTGAAAATTGCTCTCTGCATACAAAACTAGAAAATTTAGGGGCTCAATTCCATAAATCAAATTCCATAAATCAAAATCTATATATTTTCCTCTTTTGTTGGCATATAAACAATTTCCACCAGCACAAGCAACAATGGTAAAACACATCACTTGTTTACTTTTGCACACACGTGTGTTTTTGGTTTCAGTACTCTTTGTTTAGGTATTTCTTAACTGAAACTCCTTTTGAAAGACCTGGATAAATCCAGACCCCTCTAGTAGAAAAAATAGAGCCAAAAATCTAAGCAGGGAGAGAAGAACCAAAAATCTAGGTTAGCCAGTTCAGTGACTGTTTCAGGAACCAGCTGAAGATAAAGTTAGATTGTAATCTTAAAAATAATCTTAAAAAACAGGGAGTTACCCCCTTGTGATTATCACTGGTATTTGCAGAATTTTTCAATGATCACTGGTATTTTTGGAATTTTCCAATGATGCCCCCCCCCAATCCCCTTTGGATTACTGGGTTGTGTTTTCTTCCCTTAAATACCCCTTCTCCTAGCTACTCAGAGTCGAACTACTCAGGTCTACTCCTGCCTGGGAAATGACTTTCGGCCCCAGTGCACTGGCTCCTGTCCTGTCAATAAACCTCATGTGATTGTAGCAAGGATGGTCTCTCATGAGTTCCTGGGGGGTCGTGTTATCCTGAGACTTGAGTGAGAGTCTCCCTGTTCCGGAAGTCTTTCATCTTGCAATTAGAAAAAGGACTAATTTATGTTTTTTTTTTTTTTTTTTTTTTTCGAGACAGGGTTTCTCTGTGGCTTTGGAGCCTGTCCTGGAACTAGCTCTATAGACCAGGCTGGTCTCGAACTCACAGAAATCCACCTGCCTCTGCCTCCCGAGTGCTGGGATTAAGGGTGTGCGCCACCATCACCCGGCTTACTAACTTATGTTTTATGTGGATGTGTGTGTGTGCCTGTGATTTTTTATACACCACACGTGTGCAGGTGTCTGTTGAGGCTAGAAGACACCAGATTCCCTGGAACAGGAGTTAGAGACAGCTGTAAACTGCCTGATATGGGTTCCGGGAAGCAAACCCAGGTCATCTGGAAAAGCAGTACATGTTTTTAACCGCTGAGCCAGCTCTCCAGTTCACCCTTTTCATTTTTTTTTTTTTTTTTTTTGGTTTTTCGAGACAGGGTTTCTCTGTGGTTTTGGAGCCTGTCCTGGAACTAGCTCTTGTAGACCAGGCTGGTCTCGAACTCACAGAGATCCGCCTGCCTCTGCCTCCCGAGTGCTGGGATTAAAGGCGTGCCCGGCCCCTTTTCATTTTTTAAGGAAGAAACTCACCAATTGTGTCAGGATCCACCTTCTGGGGGTGACTTCTGCCGGGATCGTAGCTGTGGTGGGTTCGTGCATTCCAGGGTAGGAGTGTGAGGGTTAGAAATGTCAGGTAAGAAGGACACACAGAGACATTGGATGGTACCGGAAAGGCAACTCAGTGCCTCCAGCACACTGAGTTCACTCGCGTTTATTTTTCATACACTTTTATACCTCAATACAAAAAGGGGAAGAAGACTGTTTTAACATGATACAAAGGACAACCAGAACAGTCATTTGCTCCAATACATAGGACTTCAGGTCTTTAATTCTTGAGAAAAGTATTTGATGTTTGGGTGGTGAACCCACCCTAGATCAAATATCTTGCAGGCAGCCACTCCCTAGGTCAAACCTCCTATTTCAAAGGGAGGAGCAGAAGTGTGCTTGAATTCTCTGACCTTTGGTCAGGGTGGAGCAGATCTACCTCTACGGGGCCGGCCAAATGTCCAAAACAACAAGTAACCAGGTTAGGATATCTTGTTTTGTAGCCACACCTTGTCAACAACTTTGAAAAAGCTGAAACTTTCTGACCTCCTGAAGAGGTGGAACAGGTTCACGTTTTTGGGTTCCTACATGTTTAGCAATCAGTACTGGGCTCTCAAAAAACATTACCAGGCTTTTCATGCTGAAATGTCCTGCCTGTAGCTGAGATCGTGTCTCACTGCATGAGACAGCAGGTTCCCTGCACTGCTCTGGGCTAACCTTAGCGAATCATTATCAGTGTCTTCCACCCAGTGTCCTGGCACAGCTGAGTACTGAAGGAGATTGCTGAAGCGCTATCAAGAGATGAGTCCGAAGTCCATTCTGAGTCCAGCTGTTGGGGGGACTGAGCTGCCCCCTACTGAGTTCAGCCTGTTTGTCCTTGCCATGGAGGGGTTTCAGAGTTCAGATTGCTAACTCTACACTGCACTTTTATTTCCTAAAGATTTTTACATAATGTATATGTGTGTGCTTCTGTCACGGTTCTGTGTACATTTGTGTTTTTATTCATGGAAGCCAGAGGCATTAGATCCCCTGGGACTAGAGTTACAGGTGGCTGTGAGCTGCCCAACATGGATGCTGGGAACTGAGCAAGAATTCTCTGCAAGATTAGGAACCTCTTTTGACCACTGAACCATCATCTCTTCAGCCTTAGACAACACTTTTAATCATTTCATATTACTTTTTTCTTTGAGATAGGGTCGTTCTCTGTAACCCTGCCTGCTCTGGAACACTCTGTAGACCAGGCTGGCTTTGGACTCACAGCGATCCACCTGCCTCTGCCACTATGACTGGCTTCTCTACACTTTTACTGGAGCACAAATGTGTTGAAGGAAATAGGAGAGAGCCAGGATTACAGAGCTGGGGTGGAGGCGGTTCCTCCCTTAGCTGAGTTTGAATGTCCCATAGTTTCCTACTATATGGAAATCCCCAAGTAGCTCTGCTACACCAGACACAGGGGTGAGCCTGACCCTGCAGGACTGGGACCTACACAGGCATTCTGGATCTCAAAGACCAGTCCAGCAGAGAACGTGGACTTTTCCACAGCGAGTGCCTTCTAAGGACAAACTCTAGAGTTAGGCATGCCTAAGGCATTTATACAAGGGCACTGTCTGTGTGTTGCAGATGCTATCATGGAAAATTCCAGAGGATTTAATGCCTCCATCTGAAGGCAAGGTAGTATCTACCAGGTGCTGCTATTCCTTTTGTGTCGACTTTTGAGTATTTGATTTCAACTTCCTTCATACTGTTAGGCTATGTCTGGAAGATGAGTGAAGTGTGCTTCCCCATGTGTCTATGAGGGTTTACTAAGTGTGGAAGACCTGACCTGAATGCAGGCACCATGGTCTGATAGGCTGGGAGTCATAGAGGAAAAAGAAAACAGCAAGTGAGCCAGTGCGGGCGTATCCCACCACACCCCATCTCACCCCTGGCTTCCGGGTCATGATGAGAGCAGCTGTCCCAAGTGCTCTCCACCATGATGAGTGGAAAACCCTAAAACCGTGGGCAGCAAAAATTCTTCTCTCCTTAAATTGTCTCTTAAATTGTCTCAGCAATGAAAGTCTAACACATGCATGATTTGGTGGTTTGAATGAGAATGTCCCCCATAGTCCAGATGCTTGAGGGTGGTGCTGTTTGGGGAGACTTGGGAGGTGTGGCCGTGTTGGAGGAAGCATGTCACTGGGGGGACGGCATTGGGAGTTTAAAGACTCCTGCCATTTTGAATTTGCTCTGTCTGCTTCCTGCTAGCATAGGTCAAGATGCTAGTTCTCATCTTGCTACTCAGCCATCATGCCTGCTCTTTCCTGCCGTGACAAATTCCGAGAACCATAAGCCCAAATAAACCGTGTCTTTTAGAAATCTCTTTGGTCTCAGTGTTTATCACTGCAACAGAAAGTCACCAATACATATGAATAAGTAAAATGACAGGCCAATTTAATTTATGAACATAATACAAAAAAATACAAAGTAGTGAATAAAAACACGATGTATTTATTAAGATGTATTCATCTGCACCAAATAAATCTTACTCCAAAAATTTTAAGGTAGTATATTAGATTTTTCTCAATATAGTTTATTTCTTTAGTAGATTAAATAAGTAAATACGATTATATCAATAATTGCTGCTGAGGTACTAGTGCAAATTATGAAATATATATGTGGGAACTGACATGTTTATTTAAAAAATTTTTCTTTTCTTTGGTGGATTTTTGAGACAGGCTTCTCTGTGTATCCCTGGCTACCTGGAACTCATTCTGTAAAGCAGGCTAGCCTCGAACTCAGAGATCTGCCTGCCTCTGCCTCCTGAGTGCTAGGATTAAAGGTGTGCATTACTGCCACCACCTGGCTAATTTTTATTTGTTTACGTGGGTGTTTTGCCTGTGTATGTCTGTGTCACATTCATGCAGTGCCTGTGAAGGCCAGAAGAGGGCATCAGATCTTCTGTAACTGGAGGTACTGATGGGTATGGGTGGCCATGTGGAGGCTGGGAATTGTACCCGTGTCCTCTGGAGGAGCAGCAAGTGCTCTTAATTGCTGAGCCATCTTTCAAGTCCTCAACAAGTTTATTTAAAAAGATTATTGTGGTATCTAATAATACCTAAATCTAAAAATATTGTGGTATCTGAGAAAAGTTGAGAAAAAGTTTTAAGGAGAATAAAGAATTTCGCTACAGAGTTTTCGGGTTGGCTTTAAAGGTATAAGAAGACCACCAAAGTATGTAAGAGCAGGGACAGGCTTTGCTCCTGGCTAAGTGGCATGTCTCTCTTTTTGGCCCATATTCTTCCCAGAATCCGGAGCCTTGGTGTCTAGGGGTTGCCTCTCAGCCATCTTTTTCTCTGACTTCTACTTTTCCTGGATTATAATAAAGGCATATTGGTAGTAAAAGTCACCCCCCCCCATATTTATTGAGTTTTTTTTTCATGATAGATGTATGATCATTCTTGGTGAATGGATGAGGGAAGAAAATGACTCCCTGCTTAGAGTATAAAGTTATAAAATAGCGAATCCTCCATCAGCATCTTCCAGCCAGTGACCTGTCACAGCTACGGGCATGTGGATAATATCACAGAAACATTTCCAAGTGGTATAATCCGAAGTCCATTGTAAGGTGAGCCCAGATTCTATTTCCAGGAATAGAACAAATCAAACCATCTACAGTCTTCCTTATTTCATCCTGCTAAGCCATGTATCATTTTATGACAGGGAGAAATTCTGAGAAACTCATTATTCAACCATTTTGCCACTATGTGAACACCCCAGAGTACATTATACAAACATAGACGGCATAGCCGCTGTCCCACCTAGACAATTTTTATAATTTTATCACTCCTGTTTACATGGCTAGGTGACTAAAACGTGACCCCATTATCAGTGTGTTTTTCTGGGATGTGGCTATTTTCCTTTAGCTAAAACCATGCAAGCAACTGTGGTAGTTGTTACGTTGGGCAAAGCTTCACAAACTATTGAGCAATTGTAGATAAAATCTGAGTGAAAATGGAAATGTGAGGATAGATGGGATGTATTGATCATAGGCCTGGGCCTGGGAGGGTAGATGGATGTGTTGATCATAGGCCTGTGAGTATAGATGGATGTGTTGATCATAGGCCTGTGAGGATGGATGGATGTGTTGATCATAGGCTGGGCCTGTGAGGATGGATGGATGTGTTGATCATAGGCTGGGCCTGGGAGGATGGATGGGTGTGTTGATCGTAGGCCTGGAGCTTTCTTTTCACACTCTATTCGCCTCCTCAGAGGCTGGGCCTGGATAGAGTTTCAGCCCCATGGCCCTATGGAGTGGTGGAAGGAGGACCAAGGCAGAGTTTGAACGCTGAAGATGAGTGCAGGACACCACGCTGACCTGGACCCTTGCTTTCAGAATTGATTAAAATGCAATAAATGTATGTATGTCTCTGTGAGGTTATAAAGTTTGTCCCCCTTGAGTACAGTCTAGGAAAACAGAGCCACCAAGCTCCTGGTGGAAGAGGCACAGAGCTGTAAGCCTTCCCTAGTCGTGGGGCCCTGACGCCCTTGTAGACGCAATCTTGTGACCTGATGTGAACAGGCCTGACGTGGTGATGACAGGTCAAGGGTCCAGTGAGGATGGCAGAGTGAGGCTGTACTGTGGAGCCCTGGCTGCAGCTGCCCTTCCTCTTCTCTGATTCGGGTGCCCTTGGAGTCCTCCTTAGTAGTGGACGCAGTAGAGATGGACACTTCCACTGATCCTGAGCTCCCGCAGCTGCTCCAGGGCTTTCTGGTCCAGGCTGGTGGCCCCCAGCCCTTGCCCATTGAGTGCCAGCTTCAGCCCTCCCTCCTGGCACAGAAGCAGTACCTGGTAAGAAGAACCTGATTGGGTGGTGGGCTTCCAGACAAACCCTCCCTGGTATACCACTAGAGAAATCGCCTCTATGAGGGGACACAATGATCAGAGACAGTCAGGCCCAGGGGTTAAAGTTCACCGTCTGCAATGCTGCTTTCCACTGGGAAATGTTCTCAATCCTGGTTACACACTGGAGCCATAAAGGGAGCTCGAGGTCAGGTCTCATGCAGCTCAGGCTGGCCTCAAGCTTCCTATGTAGCTGTGACTAGCCTTGAGCTCCTGCTCCTTCTGCCTCTACTTTCCAAGGCCTGGCATTACAGGTGTGCTCTATCACACCTGGCCAGTAGAGGCTTAGGGCAGCTTTTCAAGACAGCAGATGCTTGGCCCCACCTGCATTCATTATGCCTGTCTTTCTGGGCCCAGCATCTCTGGCATCAGTATAGAGTACTGAAGGCCAATGTCTGGACAGTCTCTCTGTGGGACTAGCTCCAGGGTATTGGTCTGCTCATCCACACCCGGATGTAGCCCATAGTCGTCCAGATCACTATGGGAATGGGCTCCAGAAGAGATGTGATGGCTCAGACCTACCTCAAAGAATCGCTGGGGGTAAAAGAGGAAGGGGGCTGAGATCAGCTTCTTTCGTCCCCAGGAGGAGACCCAGGCCAGTGTTCTGTCTGTGAAGGAAGCTCTGAGTGTCACAGGAACACGGGTGGCCCCATCCCTCAGGCTCAGGGTGAAACTACAGGAAGCAGGAGGAGAAGTGGATCAGTCTCTGTTGCCTTCAGGCTGTTGTATCTCCGAAGCAGAGGCTGGAGGCAGACAGCCACTGGAAGATTGGCACCTTCCGAGAATTAGGTTTCTGTGTCAGGCTCTGGGAGGGACACTTGGATACACAACAGCACAGAGGCATAGATAGCGCATGGATATCGCACTTGAATCCCTGACTGGAAGCCTATGGGGGCAGAGCTGGAGCCTCCATTCATTGCTCTGCAAGTGGGGAAAGCTGTGATCACAGCAGCAGCTGACATTCATTGTTGTGTCAGAGTGGGGCCTAACACATTGGCAAAGAGATTAGCAGTAAGGACCAGGCTGCAGGGTTTCTGCTTTGTAGCTTCAGAGCTGCAGCCCTGGACAAGTCTCTTAATCTCCGTGTGTTTCCTCGTCTGTAAATTAGGGAGGACAAGAGTGCTGTTCTTGTCTTGGGCTGTTGGAATTAAGTGAAAAAAACATGTAAGTTGCTTGTGCAGAACAGCAGAGGAGTATGAAAATGGTACTTTGCTTAGAGAGTTATTACAGAATACAGCACCTGGATCTTTTTAATTATTTGTGTGTGCGTGCGTGCGTGCGTGTGTGTGTGTGTGCGCGTGCGTGCGTGCGTGTGTGTGTGTGTGCGTGTGTGTGTGTGTGTGTGTGCGTGCGTGCGTGCGTGTGTGTACATGCCAGGACTAGAGGAGGGTGTCAGGTGTCCTCTGTTTTTTTCTGCTATTCCTTTGAAACAGGCTCCCTCCCCGAGCTTCTCAGTGAGGCTAGAGGCCAGCAGGCCCCGGTGTTCTTCCTGTCTCTGTCTCCATGGGTGCTGGGGGTTATGAGGGTACCTGGCTTGTTCCATGGGTGCTGACGTCTGAACTCCAGCCCTTGTGTTGTATTGGGAGAGTTCCTAGATACTGAGCCATCTCTCCTGCGCCAGAGTTTTAATGGGCATCTAGAGGGAATCTCTTATCAAGTCTAGGGCTCTGTTGAACGTGGTCAGGGGGACACTGGGGGGACACTGAGGCCTCTGGTCTAAATGGATCTAAGCTACAGGTCGGGGTTTGAGTATCCACTGGAGGAGAAGCCAGGAAGCATCCATTTTCTAACTGCCTCTAGGTTCTGGCTCCCAAACACTTCTTTTCTAGGGTAGCTTGGCTGTTTCCTAAACCAAGCATTGTGAAAAAGTAGGAGACCATATCCCCTATCTGGGTCTCAACTGCAAAGGTTCCTTTCTGGGGCTTGTGATGTGAAGCTAGTTCACTCCACAGGGACACAGCACCCATGACTGGGGCTACCGTTCCCAGCCCCAGCCCTGGTCACGATCTCTGCAACCTGGGCTAACCTACTTCTCTTTGCTCTGCTGTAATAAGGGGCTAAATGGTGATGCTGGAAACTTAACCATAGGGCCCTTCCTTCTTACCTTCCTTCCTTCCTTCCCTCCCTCCCTCCCTCCCTCCCTCCCTCCCTCCCTCCCTCCCTCCCTTCCTTTTTTTAGAAATTAAATACTTACTCTTTTGGCTCTTGCAAGACCAGTCCTCGAACTACGATGACCTGCCCAGGCCAGAGACCCCGAGGAAGAGTGCGTGAGCAGGGCACCTCCTGACAGAGATGGAAAATGACTGAGATGGTGTCAGGGTCCCTCACCAGCAGGCTACCCTCAGGGACCCAGGGGCACCAGGGTAGGTGAGTTTCTCCAGAAGCTTGCAGCTAGGAGGCTCAGTCCTGCCCATATAGTAAGCATTTGCTGTAGACCTGCTGAGAGCTTCCTTGGGCCCCTCCAGGTTGTGCTCAGTGTCCTGGTGCCTTCTACAGATGTGCTCTGAACCGTCTACAGCAGGCCTGCGGTAGTTTGTCACTCTGTCACCTATGAGCAGCTGGAGGTCTGGGACTGGATGGACCCCATAGCCTAGTGCTTGGCACTGAGCCAGTCACAGGGAAGTATTAAATACCCGTTTGCAGAGTAAGTGAAGAGGGTAAGATGAACCTGGAGTTCAGCCTAGAGCTGCCTCACCCTCCCACTGATGTGGTGTTCCACGGAGAAAGGGAGTCCGGGAAGTGAGGGAGCTGAAATGGGACTACACTCCAGGAGAGACCTAGAACAGGCCACTTACCAGTCTGGGGCTATACAGCAGGAAGGGCTGAAGGAGAGAGAGAAAGAGGCAGGGGAGGCTGTTAGCATTTGTCTGGGCAAAGAGGTCTTCCTAGTTTGCTTGCACTGGGGGACACAGAGTTTGTGCCTCTCCTAGCAGCAGGTGAGTGACTGGGCTCCCGGTGGGGGATCCTCTGAATCTTAAGATACCCTCTCAGAGTGGTGGAAGAGGTGGAAGGAGGGTGGAGCTGCCATCCCACCTCTCTAGCAAGGTCATAGCTCTCATCTCCCTCCTTTGTCCTGTGAAGCCAACCTCAGTCATCTTGCAGGGTTGGTCTGAGGAGCTAAAATTCCACAGAAAGTATCTTCCAATGGGCATCATGGGCCTCTGCAGGTAGCTAGATACCTTGGAGATGGGAGAGGAGAAGCAAATCCGGGCTTTGCAGGGACTTAAGGGAGCCAGGCACATTGCCGGCGTCCACAGCAGTGAGGGAGGGGTCGGTTGGGCCTTGTGCGACCACGTGCAGGGAGGACAGAGGCCAGCTGGCGTCTAAGCATGACTGTCCAGCCTTGCTCCCCAGACTCAGATATCTGTGCTGGGGAGCCATCAAGCCTGACGACTGACTTCCTTCCCTGGACACATGTGGGGAAAGGAAACTCCTACAAATTGTCCTCTGACCTCCACACACGCATGGTTTCCTCATCATACACACATGGACACATCATGTATTTACATACACAAAATAAATAAATGTAATAAAAAAAACAGAAGAAACTCACATATCCAACTGGATACTCTCTGCTGCCTTCCACAAATGGCTGTTAAGAAAGAAAGAAGAGCCACAAGCCTTTGGGACCACTGTAAGCCCCTGTCTGCAGCTCACGCCTTTTAAAGCTGCTGTGTTGAACATTTCTGTTCCTGGCCCTACAGGTTTACTGAATCAACCCAGGGCTGTTTTTGGCAGCACTGAGGTTTGAACCTAGGGCCTTGTGTTTGCCAGGGCAGTGCTCTACCACTGAGCCACACATTTAGCTGTATTTTGAATAAGTTAATTGGGTAGACAGGGTCTATCTTTCAAACTGCAGCTTGCATGGACCCTGATGTGCCAAATCCTTTGACTCCTCAGTGACAAGCAGATTCCACCAATAGGAAAGATTCTTGTCTATGGCTCCAGGACTTCCTTACTGAAGTCACCTTCTCTTCTTCCCACCCCATTCATTTCTGACACCTTATGCACTTGTCTCTCTCGGTTATCTGGGGGCATGTAAGGTCTCCCTCTGTCTCTCAGTCTGGGGTGAGTGAGTGAGCCCCAGACCTTTCCAGATCAGGGGAAGCCAGAAGCCACCACTGACCCAGTCTTGGCTCCAAGAAAACTTACATTGATGTTCAAGAATCCAACAGCCTTCACCAAAATGTCACCATATATGCCCAGGGTGTCCACACGTGACAGTGGGAGCCGGTAGCGGTAGTGAAGAAAATGCTGTCCATTAACACTCACCTGGAGAAGCAGACAGAGCCCAGCTGAAGAGCGTAATCCCTGCCAGGCCCTAGCAAGCCTCCCTAGATTCTACTGACTTTTTTCCAAACTCTGCAAGGCAGGTGCATTGTACAGATGAACTTTTGTAATCTGCCCAAGGTTGTAGAGCTGTAGGTGGCAGAGCCGATCCGGAGCACTGTCCACGCACTCTGACGGAGCTCTCCCTTCCTAGCCAGGGCACTATCCACACGCTCTGACGGAGCTCTCCCTTCCTAGCAAATGTGAGACCTGCTTTGGCAGGGTTCAGTCGCAAAGAGGAAATAAGGAGCCCTGGGGTTGGGGTTCGGGGTCGGGGATGGGGAGACGGACAAAATCTGAGGGTGAATCAGGATGGCTGCCACCAAGTTTATTGAAAACGGTACAACATCTTTTGTACTTAATTTAGTTACAGGCAAGACTGAACTCGGGCTCACTGATTCAGGGGCAAAAGCGGCCATTAATTTCGTTACTGCATTTTCCTGAGACAAAAGTATTGAGTTCGGCAAGTATCTGAATGCCTATTGTGCTCAAAGGGTCAGTAACTCCACCAGTAGCCCTCTTATCCCAATGGGGCCTGCACGTTGCTCCTGCCAGAGATAAGAATGACCGCTTTTGGCAAGTAGGAACTTTCCTCAAGTCCCTGAAGGAATGGAGGCCTTTAATCAAATGCATGACTTTGGGAAAAGGACTTTTTCTGGGGCCCAGACACTCCACTACAATTTAAGAGCAATTTTCACTCCTCTAGGTGGTGTTATTTCTATTACATCCGGGGTCCCACGGCCATCATCATTCAGGCAGAATGCTTAGTCACCCCAGGCGTTAGCATTTCTGGGTCCCATGACTGCGCATGCACCATCAACATTCATGCAAACTACCTAGTTACCCTAGGGCCTTATGCCCTAGGTAATATACGGGCAGAGTAGTCACCGTAATCTTTGTGTGATGTGGCTATGTGAACCCCTATGCACTTGCACTAAACAGCCTTTAACAAACAGACACGCCCACTCCACGCTCTCCCACCACCCACTTTTTCCCTCTCCCTTCTCTTTGTTAATAAAACTCTAAAAGTGGGTTTCATCGTATATCTTGCGGTCCGTTCTCATGCACGGTAATATCACCAGGGGCAGGATGCAGCATTTGTGCTGAGCTGTCCCCTAATGCCTGCCTTGTCTCTCGGTCTTACTACATGGGCCTGTTCCCCTCATACGCTCCTGGCAGACAAGATCAAGATGTCTTTCTCTTTCCCCTTATTCCACTTTGATTTCTCTGTACTTATTAAATGAACTCTTGCCCTTAATGGCCTCAGGCCCTGGATCTGAACTGTAGGCATTTCATCCTTGGCGTCAAGTGTGTCCGTAGTAAATCTCCAACCTTCCTGTTCTTGGTGTAATCATGAGGGCACAACAGGATTCCTGTGCGCAGAATCATCCGGCTATATGGTTCCACGGTGGAGGGAAGTTTTTCCTAGGAATTATTTTGTTTAAAGAGGCTGCTGTTTTACACATTTTCATCCTTCAAAGCCCACATGGAATTTCCCAAAGGAAAAGACATAAGGGAATTCCCGTAACACGTAGTGAGAATGAAAGTTAAAAGGTGCTGGAGAATTGTCTACAATGTTGAAATGCTGGAACTTTGTCCAACAGCAATGGTCGCCATGCAGTTCAGGGCAACCACCACCACCACCATTATCACTGCCATTGTCCTTCTCCTCCTCTTCCTTCTCCTCCTATCTACAGGAAGGACACCAAGGCTCAGGAAGTTGGGGATAATTTGTATGCAGTAGGACTTCCCTCTACAGCAGCCTTGTCCTGTGGAGCCTTCTGAAGGTCTCATTATCTGTCTCCTAGGCTCATATTGGAGGTCAAAGTCTGGGCATTAAGTACTCCCCCTGTCTCCTGCTGCCTCAGCTGTAAGGGGATTGTGGTAGTATCCACCTCAGACCCTGTGGGGAGGACTTAATGGGCACATTCTCGTAAAGGCTTTAGCACAGTGCCCGGCACCAAGCAGAAGCCCTCCAAGTGCTTGCCCTGACCGTGAAGTGGATTCCTCTGCCCGCTAGACCCAGGGGCCTTAGTGCTTTCTTACTGCTGTGTGGGTCCAGAGCAGCCGTTTATCGCAGGGCCACGGAAAGTTGGAAAGAGAAGGAATGGTATAGGGTGCCAGGCCTGGGCTGCTTGATACGTCTCCTTTATACTCACCTTCACCTCTTCGTTCTCAAAGAGAAAGAGGACGAGGAAGCTAGCACCTCTCTGCAGGGTGACACCAGGCCACCGGACCTCTTTCTGCCAGACTCCACCTTGGAGGGTGTTGCAGATGACATGGGGTTTGACAGTGTAGAAGCGAGGGTTGAAGTGGAAGGCAATATCTGGCCGAGGGTGCAGGCTGCACCCACATTGGAAGTCCACCTGAAACCTGGTGGCGGCGTTGTGTGACTTTTGAGACACCCTTCTGATCAGAGACCCACAGACATTCTGAAGATAGAGAGGAACCCCAGGTTGATGCCCCTATCTGGGCTCTACCAAGTCCTAGACAGTCCCTCTTACCTTCGTGCATGTAGAGGGACCACACCTTGCAGCATGATCATCTTGCCTGCATACAGGCCACCGAAAATTGTTGTGGTATAGGGAACCACCTGAACAGGGAAGAGAAACGGGGTGAGCCGACCTGTGGCGGAACCAGGGACTCCTGTGTGTAGGGGTGGGTGTGGTGAGGAGGAAAGACAAGGAAACTCAGCTTCCCCACTGTGAAGTTAATCTCGACTCTTAGCTTGATGAAATAAATTTACAGATACTGCAGAAACACATTCTTGGGAACATCTGTGTGGGATTTTCTAGGTAAGGATAATTGAAGTGGGAAGACCCACCCTAAATGGGGACAGTACCTTTTCATAGGCTGCTGCTAGACCAAATAAAAAGGCAAAGGCCAGTGGTGTTCAAGCCTCCATGGCCTTCGGTTCTTGACACTTGAGTTGTAAGAGTGGCACCTCCTACCACCTTCCCTGCACGTGGACACATCTCCTGTGGCTGGGGCCAGAACAAACCTTTCCGGCCTTAAGTTGCTTCTGCTAAGTTTTTTTTTTTTTTTCCACAGCAATAAGACAAAGTAACTAATAAGCCCTCAAGAGAAAGTGTCCTTGTGGGGAAGACCAGTTTTCTCTCTGATATTCCAGGGTAAGTTACTTCCCTCATGGCTCTAACAAGATCCCCGACAAGAGCAGCTGAAGGAAGGGAGGGTTTCTTCTGCCTCACAGTTCCAGGGGACAGTCCATCATGGCAGGAAGTCACGGCAATAGGAGCGTGAAGCAGCTGGTCACATTGTATCCAGTCAGGATTCAAAGAAAGCTAGTGCCTAGCTTGAGGCACCGCAGAATCCAGTCAGGATTCAGGCCGCCATGAAAGCTGGTGCTTGTCCTGATGCACGCTTTTTATTTAGACCAGGATTCAGCCCCCAGAATGGTGCCACCCCACACTGAGGGGTGACTCTCATTACCTTGATTAATGACGTCTAGATAATATCTCACAGGCTTGTCTAGAGATTTGTTTCCTTGGCAATTCTAAATCCCATCAAGTGGTTAGTCCAATGAACCATCACAGGTCTTCTCAAAGCTCTCCTGTCTTGGGCAGAGATGTTAAAACCACAATGCCCCCCCGGGGGGGGGGCAGCCTAATATAGCTTCACCGCCCTGTTAGAGCACCAACAGGCTACTGTGACCCCACTGAGGAGTTCACCCACTGGATGCCACCCGGGAAGGAAACGTCTGAGGACTGGTGAGTGTCCAGAGTTTAGGAGCTGAGAGGAGGAAAGAATGGAGAAGTTGGGAGCAAGCTGACCCTGCTGTGAACTCTCGGAGATACCCAGCAGTGGTCAGTCACCCCCGGGCCCATCTTTTCTCACACAGAGGGTGCCTGGCTGCAGTGGCATTTCATTTGTATTTTAATAAATAAAGCTTGCCTGAGGATCAGAAAAGTAAAACAGCCACACTGGCCAGACATACAGTCCAGGCAGCAATGACACACACCTTTAATCCCAGTAGCCACACTAGCTTGACACAGAAACCAGGCGGTAGTGGTGCACGTCCTTAATCCCAGAACTAGAGAGGATTATACAATGGGAGGAGACAGCTCTCAGGCTCAGTCTCATTCTGAGGCTTCCTGGAGGCAAGATCACCATTTCAGACTGAGGTCGAGGTAAGAACCAGTGGCTGGCTGTTTTGTTTTTCTGGTCTTCAGGTTGAACCCCAATTTCTGTCTCTGAGTTTCTATTAATCGTGCTACACCTGGCCTTCCTAAAGTACGCATACACTTTTCACCTCTTTTTCTGGGCCTGTTCCCTCTCACCCTTTTTTCTCTCTCTCCATCTGGACACAGTTTTGCTTTCCCTCTCCCGAGTTCTCGGAGCACTTAGCTCACGATGCTAGCTTGGCCCTCAGCTCCCTAGTATAGAGGCACTGGCTAAATGTTTTCCCATTATGACCATAGCTCCTTATAACTGGAGCCTCATTGCCTTTCCCTTTGACAGACTCAGCAACTATCTGAACACTGTGGGAGCTCTGCAAAAGGCTTGCCAACAGGCCAGCAGGTGAACCCGGTGGCGGGGTCACAGCATCAGCCTTCATGTATTGCTTGTCAACACCCAGTGGCAATCAGAGAACCCAGACCACCCCAGGGAGCCCTCCAGTTGGTGGTTCCTAGCCTGTGAAGGGGCGATGGGCGCCCAGGAGATTTCCGGTACTTCAGCCCATTACTCAGGCGCCTGGGGAGATGCCAGAGGCCAGCCTCTCCACATGGCATGGTGCCCACAGCTTTGCAGGACCCAGCAGCACAGTGGCTTCCAGTTCCCAGGCTCTTGGCAGAACGCGTTAATTAACTGAGTGATGAAGTCCTCTAGGGACGAGACGACCAAGCCGGGCAAGGTAATAACCCGTGCTCATTAGTGGCGGTGCCTGCTGGGAGCTGGGCCTTCTGTAGAGCATTGCTGGGCTGCAGTCTCCTGGGCACTGAACGGGAGGAAGGAGAGAGGGATTTCCACTACTCCTGATTGGGAGCGGTCCCAGGCCCTTCCTTCCAGCTCGGAGAAGCAGCTACCCTTAGTCGTTAGCGTCTCTCTCAACAATCCCACCTCCGTTCTTCTGGCCACCCCGCTCAGAAGAGACAAACTGAAGAGGCAAGGACCCTGGGAGCCCAGTCACTCCCATGCAAGCTGGAATTCAGCTGATTCCTCAACTGAGTTAAGACTACTCACCGGGTGGAAGACCGGCGGCTGCAGAATGAAGCTGTCAGGAATCGGGTCCAGGTGTTCAGCCGCGGACATGGGAGCAGGCGGGGCAACTCCAACTCAATGGCCAATCCTGATTCCAGCAGCGCCGTCCCCCACCGAATCTTTTCCAGGCAGGGTCTTCTTCAGCTTCTGCAACAGCTGTTCAAGCTGTTAGTCTCACCTGTTCCCTATGGAGTCCTAATGCTTTTTGGAGCAGACCTGGGAAGGTCAGTGGTCCACTCTAGGACCCATACCAGCCCCCGCTCCGCCCCCAGCCGTGGTACACAGCGGCAGCTTTGAATGCTGCTAGCAGAAACGCCGTGTCCTGGGGCTGGTAGCTGGCTCTCAGTCCCGGGCCGGTTAACTAACCCATCTGTGTTTGAAGCACTGCGCCATCTCAAAGGGAAGCCTGGGGTTGGCTCCTTTCAGCGAGGGCTCACCTGGGCCTTCAGCGGGTCAGAGGAAGGGATGGTGGTGGTACACGTGTGCAGGTTCCTCGAGAGGCCCCGCCCCCAGCTTCCTGGCTCCTCCTGCCCTCATTCCCTTGCCTCTTTCCCTACTCCCTTTTCTCCCAGTTGTACAGTCCCTTGAGACCATTTCAGCGTTAGCTGCAAATGCCAGGGACCAGCTGGGGTCACAAGAAAGTGGGGCGGGCGAGTAAAGGGAAAGGAGGGTTCCCTTGGGCTCAGACAGAGCAGCCTGGGCTGGTGGGAACACAGCTTCTGCTCTTGCGTGTTGTGTCCTCCCATTTCTTCTCTCCGAACAGTCAGTTCACCTGTGGGTCAAGAGGGTGTCCATGGCTGGGTGTTGAGTTTGAGCCTGGGCCTAGAGAGCTGTGTTTTAGAAGAGGCCTCCAGGCCTGGTACAGATTCCAGAAAAGCTTCTCCTTTAAAAATAGCATAACTTCTCAACTTTAGCCTAACTTGTCTTTAGTCTAGTTAGTCTAACCGCGGGGTCAGACTTGACAGCAGGGAGTTCCTGGCAGGACCAGGGGAGACAGAATGCCAAGTGCGCCGGGCGCAGTAGAGGAAGATCGTTCCTGGGACAGGGGAGAGCCAGTGAGGGGCCTGGGCTGAGGGATCTGGCTGGGCTACTTCACCTCATCTCCTCATCTAGACGTTTGCCAGAGAGGTGAATTGTGGGGCCTCCACCCCAGCCCTACTGAAGAGGGCATTTTAGGGGTGAAGTTCAAGAACTGGCCCTGCAGGCAGTTCTGTTGTGCATGAGTGTCTGAGAAACCCCGACTTAGCTTGTAACTGAGAGCACAAGCTAGGGAGTTTGTCCAGCTCCTGCTGGGTAGGTGGAACAGCGGAGCCAAAGGCATTTCTGTGGGAAATCCAGTCCCCGCCGCGTTCACGATAAATAAATGCTATGTACTGCAGGTGGAGAGACCAGTTGAGCCAGGATACAACGCCCTGCACTGTAGTCAGATCTGGGTCCTCAGGGCCACTGGCGCCCTTCCCCCACTCCACACTCGGTTCGGCTAGGAAATGAGGGAGGCTGTACTCATTCACTTGGGTTGCCACAACAAAAAACAACAGACTGGGGTGGGGTTGTAGACGACAGAATTCTGTTTTGTCTCTTCTGGAGGCTGGAGTTGAAGATCAGGTGTTGACAGGTTGGGTTTCTCCTGGGGTCTCTATCCTGGGGTGGCACCCGGTTTCTTCTTGTTCTCAAACAGTTGGTTGTCTCTGGAGCTGGGTTCTACTTTCCCTTTTATGCGAGGCTGCAATCATATTGGACTAGGGTACACCAATAAGACCTCATTTTTATCTTAATTATTCCTGCAAAGGCTGTGTCTATAAACACAGTCACATTTCTGAGGTTCTGGGGGTCAGGATTCAGCATACAGTTTTTAGGGGGTCACAACTGGGCCTGAATTAGAGCAGTGGTCTGTGCTCTCCTCCACAAACTCCAAGGTCCAGTGGTGAGGGGTGTGGCCAATGAGGGCCTTCTGGGGCAGGAAAGGAAGAAGGGTAGCATGAAGTCTCTCTCTCTAGGTCACCTAGGATTTGAACATCTGGGAGGGACCTGGACAAGCTCAAAACACCCCAAGACTCCATTCTCCAGAACAAGAAAGGGGTCCTTAGTCACCTAGGAGCCAGTTCACAACACCTGGGAACCAGATGGGATAATCAGAGGGTGTGAGCAATAGGAGAAAAACTAGTCAGGAAGAGTGGACAGATCTTGGCAGCTGGCCCCACCCCCATTTAACCTAGCTGGAATTATTTCTGTGTATTTGGGAATTGGGGGTCCAGCTTCATTTTTCTCACATATGAACATTCTTTCCTTTCCCAGTGATGAACAAGTCCCCTGTGTCTTGTGTTGGGTTTTCATGAATGAGCAGAAGCATTACCAACCACATTTCATCGCATTGCTCTTGTGGTTTTCATTTATTTATCATTTTTATTTATGTTTAGTGTATGCCTGCATATGCCATTTGAGCGCAAATGCCCACAAAGGCATCAGATCCCCTGTAGCTGGTGTACTGGCAGTTGTGAGCTGCCCAATGAGGGCAGTGTGGGTTTCTATCATTCTGCTTCATTCCCCGTTCCTAGACTGTTCCCATTAACTCCTGTTACGATCTATTTATTAGAATTTCTCCTAGACCCTTGTGGTTAAAATCATTCTCTTCAGAACACAAATAATTTGTAATATTGTTATGAATGTCTGTGACTCTTTCAGGCTAGTCACAAGGTGTGCTAGAAAGGCAACATCCCGTTCTTGAGAAGCCTGAATTCATGGTCAAACTTGAAACATCAAAGGCTTTAGGGGCTGAATCGGGTCCAGCCCAATTTTTAACAACATCCTCTCTGGCTCACCCAGAGGAAAACCAGGGGGAAGTTTTCCTGAAGTAATAACTTTATATCCACAGCTCTGAGAAAGTAAAGCTAGAAGCAGCCAGCAATATGGTTTGTATAAAGAGAGCGAGAAGAGCAGATAGCATGTTTGTTCCTGGGGTCATGCCCAAAGTTATGCCGTGAACTATCCATCGGCCTTGCTAAAAATGGGTCAGATTTTCCAGGGCCTTGTCACAAGGACAACTTGTGTGTGCTATTCTCAGGTCTTGTCCCCTGAAGAAATCACACGGCTCCTGACATTAATCACTGATGAAAATGTAAACCAATAAGACCTCTAACATATTCCTAGTAGAAGTGAATTGGTATTGTCAGTTAGAAAAAGAGTTTTTTATTTAAAGCTGACATTTTATATGTATCCTTGGGTATCAAGTCTCAATAACTCTCTTGCATGTATATACCAAGACACAATTCAGGTTCCTTTCCAATTGCTTCAGTTAAGGAGAAAGGCGAACAATCACAGCTATCCACCCAGTAACTTTATCACCGGATCAATAAATCAAGGTATGAAGACACAGTCTCTACAGTAATATGAATGTGTGTATGTGTCTCTGTGACCACAATGGCCAGCAGAGTAACAGTCCTTGGGAGGCAAGAAGGGAGTTCAAGGCAGCATGACTAAATAGCTAGTGTTGCTTCAACTATGTAAGTCTGACTCCAAATCATTTATTTTTGGCATATTTAAGCACAGTACAATTTGGTAAAACTTCCCTGGTGATAATAACTCAATCCCGTGTGCACAATAAAGCACAGAGTAAGCTAAACAAAGATTGGGCATGGCTACAATGAAACTCCTTGTAAGGTACATGTGATCCCCGGTGGGTGCTATAGATTGACTGGAAGAACAAGTTCACAATAAGGGTTTGGGGGAGGATCCAGTACGGCCTCAGTCACAGCACAAAAGCCACAGGCTATTAACCATGGCGGATAACAGGTTATCTCAATCTCCTCCTTTGAAGGAACAACCCTGTGTGTGTCATATTAATGGTTCCCTAGTACCTATCTGTCAGCACAAGGACCTCCTTGCCTCTGAAGTGTGAGTAAGTCATAGAAACAGCCCTGGGAGAAGGAAGTCACCAAAGAGAACACACAGCGTGATAGCAGCGTTTGTCTCCTCCTTTTGCTAAATATACCAGTTGCTTTTTTTTTTTTTTCCGTGCTGTGATAAAAACCATGACCATGGCAATTTATAGAAAGGAGAGTTTATTCAGGCTTATGTTCCAGAGAGATATAAGTTCATGAGGATGAGGATGTGTCTTAGGGTTTCTGTTTTTGTGAAGAGACACGTGGCCATGGAGACTCTTATAAGGAAACTATTTAACAGTGGTGGCTCACTTACAGTCTCAGAGGTTCAGTCCTTTATCATCATGGTCAGGAGCATGGTGGCAGACATGGTACTGGCTACATCTTGATCAGAAGGCAACAGGAGTGGACTGAGCGTCACACTGAGGGAAGCCAAAGATCTCTAAGCCCCACCCCACAGTGACACATTTCCTCCAACAAGACTACACCTACTCCAAAAAGTCATACTTCCTACAAACTTATGGGGGCCAATCATATTAAACTACCCCAAGAGCATGGCAGCAAGCGGCAGGTGTGGTGTCAGGATCTGCAAGCTGCAAGCTCATCCCTCAACCATGAGCACAGAGCAGAACGGAAGTGGTACAAGGCTTTTTTCTCTAAAAGCCCACCACCTCCAGCAAAGCCACACCTCCTAAACCCTTCTGTATTATCAGGGTTCTCTATGGGAACAGAACTGATAGAATGAATATATATTATTAATATATATTATAAAATTATATATCATGGATAGTCCAACAATGGCTGTATCATGAGGGAAAGGCAGGCACTCAGTCCTCCAGACTATGTTTCTGGGTCCTGATCTGGTGCTGGAGTCTGGAAGGCATCCTAGAGGGCTGCTGGTTCTTAGTCTATGCTGGACCAAAGAAGCAGGCTCTAACACTGCTGAGGGGATGCCTGGCAGCAGGCTAGATAAACTTGCAGACAGTGAGGGCAAGTCTCAAAAAGCAGGAGTTTCTTCTGGGTTCTTTCATGTGAGCTGCTAGCAGAAGGTATGGCTCAGAGTTAGGGAGGGTCTTCCATCTCAAATAACCTCACAGGCATGCTCCGCTGCTTGGGTTTTTAGCTGATTCCAGATGCAGTCAAGTTGACAATCAAAATTAGCTATCACACACCCCAAGCAAGACCATGAACTGGGAACTAAGTGGTCAAAGATCTGACCCTATGGGCTATTCACTCAAGTCATTATGGCAGGTTCAGTGTCTGGTGAGACCCTGTTTTCAGAGTCATAGATGGCAAATGGGGAGGGGCTTCTAGCTCTCCAGGGGCCTCTATTAAAGACACAGGCCCCACTCATGAGGAGTTTGCTGACAGGGTCTATGTTCTTCTCAAAATCTTTCACCTAGTCCATTTACTTAGGGGTTAGGATTTCAGTATATGGATTTTTTAGAGAACACAGATATCCAGGTCAGTCATCATTCTAAAAATAAAGCTTCAAGCATGAAAACAAAACAAGGTATTAGGGATGCAAAAGGATGTGGGAAAAAACTAGTTAAAAGATAAGGAGAAATCAGTGGATGAGTGGATAAAGAAAACATAGTTTATTAAACTACAAAGAACGACTTTTCACTGTTTGCAGGAAAATGGAAGTGTAAGATACAGCGTGATGGGGCTGGAGAGATGGCTCAGTGGTTAAGAGCATTGCCTGCTCTTCCAAAGGTCCTGAGTTCAATTCCCAGCAACCACATGGTGGCTCACAACCATCTGTAATGAGGTCTGGTGCCCTCTTCTAGCCTTCAGGCATACACACAGACAGAACATTGTATACATAATAAATAAATAAATAAATAAATAAATAAATAAATAAATAAATAAATATTTAAAAAAAAGATACAGCGTGAGAGGGGCCCAAACCGTGGTGGGTGACAAAGAACGCCATGCAGAGAGAGCTTGAGTATGAAGTTTCATTAAAAGGGAGGGAAGAGAAAATGAGAAAGGGGAGAGAGACAGAGAGAGGAGAACTAGAAAGGAGAACTAGAGAGGAGAGGGGAGAGGAGAGGCTGAGACTGGCTTCGGGTGGGGGTGGGGTGGGGGAGATCAGGAGCTTGTCTCTCTCTCTCTCTCTCTCTCTCTCTCTCTCTCTCTCTCTCTCTCTCTCTAATTTATTAGATTTTTTTAAAAAAATACCAATCCAAATTTCCACTCCTTCCCCTCCTCCCATTCCCTCCACATACCCTCCCACCCCACCCCCATCTAATCCTAAGAGAGGGTAAGGCGTTTTGCTTTGGGGAAGGTCCAAGGCCCTCTCTACTACATCTAGGCTGAGAAAGGTGTACATCCAAAGAGAATAGGATTCCCAAAAAGCCAGTACACGCAATAGAGATAAATCCCAGTGCCACTGCCAGTGGCCCCTCAGTCTGCCCCAGCCATACAACTGTCAACCATTTCAGAGGGACTAGTTTGGTCCTATGCTTGTTTCTTCCCAGTTCATCTGGAGTTGGTGAGCTCCCATTAGCTCATGTAAACTGTTTCAGTGGATGGACTCTTCATGGTCATATATAGACTCACCCGGAAACTGGAAACAGACAAGATCGCCTGACAAAATTGGGAGCATGGGGGGGGAGTAGAAGGAAGGGTAGAAGGGGAAGAGGAGGAGAGAAGGGGAGGGTTGAGGAGAACTTGAGGGAATGGGATAGTCGAGATAGAGGAAGGACAGATATGAGAGCAAGGAAAGAGATATCTTGATTGAGGGAGCCATTATGGGGTTAGCAAGAAACCTGGCTCTAGAGATTTTCCCAGGAATCTACAAGGATGACCTCATTTAAGACCCTAAGCAATAGAGGAGAGGGTGCCCGAACTGGCCTTGCCCTGTAGTCAGACTGATGATTATCTTAAATATCACCATAGAACCTTTGTCCAACAACAGATGGAAAGAGACCACATCGGAGCACTGGACTGAGCTCCCAAGGTCCAGTTGAAGAGTGGGAGGAATGAGAATCTGAACAAAGAGGAGCTTGTCTCTTAAAGGGACCTCTCCACTGCACACAGTGGAACTGCTTGCCAAAAGATGAGAGGTGACTGTGCCCAAGGGGCAGGGCCAAGGTGTGTCTGGATACTAACAGGAAGAAACTGCTGATCCTTTTAAGCTGAATAAGCCAGACTCAGAAAGACAAGTATCATGCATGCTCTATGTGTGGACTTTGGGAATAATAAGGACATGAATGATAAGGGGGGCTATGAAGTTTGTGGAAATTAAGGTGAGGGGACAGTGAGGGAAGGATAGTTTAAAGCTGAGTTGACCAAAGCACATTAAACACACATGTGCACACATGTTTTTTTTTTTTCTTTTCTTTACGAGACAGGGTTTTTCTGTCGCTTTGGAGCCTGTCCTGGAACTAGCTCTTGTAGACCAGGCTGGACTAGAACTCACAGAGATCCTCCTGCCTCCGCCTCCCGAGTGCTGGGATTAAAGGCGTGTGCCACCACCACTCAGCTAACACATGGTTTAATAGAGGGAAAGGCCTGGTGTGTAGAGTCACCAAGGCTGAAAAAAAGGATCGTTTGAGCCCAGGAGCCCTGACTGCTTAAAAGAGCAAGGTCTCATGGAAAAAAAAAAAACTAAGCAAAAACAGAAAGCAAGGGCACCTTAGATACAAAACTCAGAATGGAGGGGCCGAGAAGTGGAAAGCAGGGGATGTAAGGGGAGCTTGTATACTGAGTGTGTTAGTTCTGAGGTTTGTTTGTTTATTTATTTATTTATTTATTTTCGAGACAGGATTTCTCTGTATATAACTCTGACTTCCTGGAACTCACTTTGTAGACCAGGCTGGCCTTGAACTCACTGAGATCCGTCTGCCTCCGTCTCCTGGGATTAAAGGTGTGCGCCACCCAGTACTATTTAGCTTTAATTTTTAAAAGGTTTATTTGATGTGTATACCTGTTTGTGGCTGCACATTTGTGTACCATGTGCCTGCATGCCTGGTGCTGGCAAAGGCCAGAAGAAGGTGTCAGAACCCCAGAAACTGGAGTTATAGACTGTTGTGAGTCACCTCGTGAGTGCTGGGAACTGAACTCGGATCCTCTGCAGGAGCAATAGGTTCTCTTAACCCAAGCCATCAGCCCAGCTCCCATATTTAGCGTTTGTGTCTCACTCTAGCGCAGGCTTGCCTGCATCTCATCGAGTAGTGAAACTGAAGCAGGCTTCCCAGGCTTCATAATCTGGTCTCAAAGCCTTCGGTGTGGCTGGTTAGTAACTGTGGACTTCTCCAGCGGTCTCAGGTGCTACCTCTGACTCTGCGACCTCACGGCTCTGCGTGACCCACGAATGACCCAGCTCCAGTGTGCAGCGCCTGCCTTTCCTCAGGGTGTGGCTCCTTCCTTCCAGCCAGTGACCACGGATGAGTTTACTGCACAGGCGCAGCGTCTGCACCCACCCTCGCGCGCGTCCCGTTCCGCGCGTCCCGCCCCGCGAGCCCTCACCGCCGTTTGCCGGGCTCCCCCTGGCGGCGCCGCTCCACCTCGTCACCCCCGGTTCTAGCCCCGCCGGACCAGGCGCCCATGATCCCGGAGCTCCGCGGACCCCGGGCCGCGTCATCTGCGAGCTCTCCAGGCGCTTGGTCCCCGCTGGCCACAGCGGGATGGGCCTGAGTCCGACCGCCAGCGGGGAGTACGGGATCCGCCTCTCCAGGGTCCCATGGCCGCGCCCCAAGTCCATCTCGAGAACCTCCAGTACCGGCTCAAGTGACACCCAATCTGCAACTGGACAGTTAGCCGTACCCCACTCAGGTCTGCCCCGAAAATGGGGTCTTTCCCTCGAAGCCTTTCTGGGTGGTTCTTGCCCCAGCGAGTCGCCCCCTGTCAGAAATGGTTTGGCAGTTATTTTGCCTCTAGACAGCCTGCACCCTTTGTCCCCTCCAAGTTTTATGGAGGGCAAAGCAGGAGCCGGGCACAGTTCTAATTCTTTTTTTTTTTATTTATATTTTTTTGTTTCTTTTTTTTCATTTTATTTTTATTATTATTATTTTTTTTTTACTGTATTTTTGGAGACAAGGTCTTTCTTGCTATGCAGCCCTGGATGGCCTGGAATTCAGGCTGGCCTGGAACTCACAGTGATTTGCCTACCTGGGCCTGCAGAGTGTTGGGATTAGAGGCATTCACCACCACACCTGGCTTTAGGCACCATTCTAAAGCAAAACACCCAGTCCACTTTTGGCTTGAGTTGGTCTTTCATGGGGTTCACTTCTTCCCGCACAGAAGGCAGTTGTGTATTAAATCACACCCCTTCCCTCCTGAATTAGAGTCAGTGAGATCTCAAGCACTACTGGTCCAGCTCCTGCCGAAGCGGCTCAGGCAAAGCTTCAAGTTAGAACAGGCCAGAAGCGGGTAAGATTTTTTTTTTTTTTGAGACGTTGGTTTTAGATGTTAGTTCTGTAGAACAAATACTCCCCCAGGTGGTTTCTGCTTGAATCAGCCAAAAGCCAACGAGTAGCGCCGGGTAAAACTGAACTAGGTTGCAGACCTGATGATGGCTGTTGTCATACCGTGTTGAAGTTTTACCCACAAGGCCACTCTGCAGACTCTTGGAACTTGAGTGGGTTTGTAGGTGCACAAACGAATGAAAAATTCAGGAGACTTGTGCTTGGGCATTAGGTTGGGGTGAGAAGAGGAGGTGTGAGAATTTTTGCACTGTATCCTAATCTCTTACTATCTTCCCTTCTATGAAAATCGGCGTGCAAGTATCACTTGCTGATAAACGTTTGAAAAGAATAATGAACAAGTTAGGAAAGCTGATCGGAGGGGAGGGAGAATGAAGAATTTATCTGGGAATAAGTGCAAAGTACAGTGCACAAGGTGGAAACCGAGAGTGTGTTCCAAGGGCACGGGCTAGCAGTATGTAGAGCTGAAAAGAGGAGAATGGAAATTGCTGAGAATTGATCGTCTTTGCCCTCAGATTTAATAAATAACAGCGGTGTTTAAGGACCAGCAGGAAGGGTGGGTAGGGCCAGTCCAGACTGAACTGTTGCTGGGCTGGTGTCCCCGAGAAGCTCTCTGTGGAATTTCTCAGGATAGCTCATGCCAGCAGTTCATGGCAGCTCTCCCTCCTGCTACATTTTGTCTGAATTTGAGACCAGGGACTCTGAAGGTGACACCTCTCACCTACACATCCAGTCTCTAACAATTGTCAGAAAAGCAGGGGCTGTACTGCACGAAAGCAAATGTCTTCAGGGAGTCAAGTTTGCAGGTGTGTGAGGGATGTCTCTTTCAGTGACAAAGCTGGAAGGTGTCTTGAAAGCACAGATCTGAAGTGATTGGTCACACAGACTTTCCAACAGCCGTGGAATAACGTTTGTTGACGATGTGATTGCAAAATCGTTTCTAGAGAGAAGTCGGTAATTAACGTGGAGATCACACCCAGCAAGAAGAGAACAGAGTTGGTTCCAACGCCCAAGTTGGAGATGGAAGGCAAGCTGAAACATCCAGCGGCCGAGGTGCGTATCCCAAGAACTGATGGAACGAGTGTTTTACTCTCTGGGTGACTGCGTATTGTAATTTACTCTAGCCGTGTCTAATAAATATCTACACTGACTTGAGATGCTGTTATGCATGTTCATGTAGCTTTCCTGAGGTATATTTAGCCATATTTAATTTCCAGATGTTTAAAATATGCAGCTAGACACTTTTTGATATTGTTAGAGCTGAAAAGAGAAGAGAAAAATGACAGTTCCGGGGAAGGAGCTGATATGAGATTATTCCTCAGAAGACCCTTATTAGGAGAGGGAGCCTCACAACACGGGACGGGGCAGCATCAGGCCTTGTAGTGAGAGAGCCTCAGGGGAGACTGAGTATCTTAGCAGCATGGTGGGGCCTTGGAGGCAGAGGGAGTGTTAGCTCTTAGCTCTTCAAATTCTGAGACCAATGAGGGCTTTCTGACTCTGATAGGTTTTAGAAGTATGCTTGTGTGCTTGTAGGGGACAGGCTTCATATCGTTTGATCTGTCCTGGCCTTGTCACTGTACCCAAGGGCGTGGTGGCAGGCATCAGGTAAAAACATGGCTTTATTCTGCAGCTCCAGAGGATAGGGATGGTGGAGGGCTTCAAGGCCACAGAGCGGCATGCTTTCTTATCAACTCTGTATCAGAAAGGGAGAGTTGGGGGGTCATGGTCTGGCAGAGAGAGAGAAAGGAAGGAGAGAGAGAGAGAGAGAGAGAGAGAGAGAGAGAGAGAGAAGGAGAGAGCAAGAAAAAGAGGAGAGAGAGGAGGGAGAGAGAGGGGGAAAGAGTAAAAAGAGAAGCAGAGAGGGAGAAAATGAGAGGGAGGGAGAGAGAGAGAGAGAGAGAAAGAGAGAGAGAGAGAGAGAGAGAGAGAGAGAGAGAGAGAGAGAGAACTCACATGCACCAGCAAGGGAGTCTGTGATCTCACAAATACATGTATACAGTGTGAAGCTCTTGCCACAGTTGAGACAGCATGTCCATCAAACATGATTTAAAAAACGCCCGTTTGTAATCCCTTCCCATCACCAGCATGCCTCTATCTCCGAGCAGCAGCCAGTCTGCCTTCTGCCAGCTATAGATTAGTCTGCATTTTCTAGAGACTTGGCAATACGGTCATAGTGCATATACTTAATTTTAAACATTTTATTACATGTATGTATGTATGTATGCATGAATTTACTGTGTGTGGGGATACGGACTCCTGTGGGGGAGAGAAAACAACTTGAAGAAGCTGGTTCTCTCCTTCTGCCACGTGGATTCCAGATCAAACTCAGCTTGTCGGGCTTGGTGGCGCTGTCCTTTACCCACCGAGTGATTTTTCTAGTTCTCTAGCAGTGGTTAGTGAGGTGTTCAGGGTCTGCTGGAGACTCCAGCTGTAACAGTTACTACTGGCTTTCACAATGACCTTGTAATCTTGTTCACTTAAATGATCCCTTTAGCAGAAGAATAATCCTAATAACCACAGGTTTTGCTTTCTCATTACATAACAGAAAGTGTCTGTTGAGTGTGTAGATCAGTTATTTAGGGCTATAGAAATGTCAGCCAATCTTTCATTTTCACAGGACTAATGCCTGTGTCTTTAGTGTTACAACCAAAGAGAATTCCAGGCTCTCCTTAAAGGTTCTTCTCAGAGGGCACTGAAAACAGTTCTGTCAGGTGCTTCCAAGGACTGATGTATAGAGAACGGGATGAGTTGGTAATCGTTATGAATCTTCTTCATGCCTTCGTATTGCACAAGACAAACGTTCTCAGCTGAGCGCTTACCATCAGCTTTGTTTTTCAGTAAGTTTTATGGGGCAGAAAGTTGGTGCCGCCTCCGTAGTTGCAGGGTGGTCATTGCTTTTAACATTTAACTGAAAAAGTTACCAAGACGTGTGCTTTGAAGGCAAGTTCCAGTATTTGAGGTGACGACAGGAACAAATGTCAGGACCTTGTAATTCCATATGACGAGCAAACTGGGATCAGAGTAGAGCAAAGCTAGGCGGCACTGGGCAGCGTGGCCAGGACCCCACAGCCTGGCTTCTCTGCAGTGCTTTGCCCAAGAGTCCAAAAGTCCTCAGAGTCTTCCATGCCCCTTAGCAGAACAGGAAGGAAAACAAAGGCCTGCAACCACTCCATAAGCTGTATGGCCACCAGCTCCCCATGCAGGCCTTGTATGACGTTCACACACAGTTTCACTCAGGATCCTATGTTCAGAGAGTTGTGCCAGAGACTGCTGTGACCTATCACTTCAAACCCCGTTTTCATCTGACCATGAGTCTGTGTCCCCAAGGTGTCTTTGATGGGATGCTTGTCACCTGTTCCCAGTGTCACTTAACCCTTCCAGGTCTTTGTGTCTCCATTCTTCCCCAGGTCACCCATCATTTAAATCTGAGTTCTGTGGCTTTTGCTGTGCTGGCTTACCTATTGCTTATACAGCAGGGGTGAATTAATGCCCAGAGAGAAGAGGAAACAAATGCAAATGGTGTCCTAGCATGTGAGGTACACCAGCTTCTTTGCTTTTTCCTTTTAAAAATTTATCTCTGCTCTTCAAAGAATTTTAATTTTAATTGCTCTCTCAAGAATTTAATACATGTATACAATGTCTTTTGGTAATACCCACATTTTTTTTTTTAAAAGCACTGAATCCAGTTAGTACTGCTGGTCTGTGCACATGTGTAGATCCAACCGTGGAAGCGTGGGCAACTTGCTGGGGGCCACATTCCTGACAGATGCTTGCTGGGGGGAAGGCTAACCAGCTCTTTTCCTGAAATGAAGTCTTGAGATTTGCTGGATGTAGACGTAGTCCCGCCTCTACCCCGATCTTTTCATTCCCTGTTTCCGTGTATCTGCTCCCTGTTTATCCCCTGCTCACTCTGCTGGTCTCTGTAGAGTCCTCATGATTGTCTGCCTCCAGCGAACCTAAGTTTTTTTTTTTTCCTTAGGGCTTTTGTCATAGATTTCCAGGACTGTCCCTCTCTGCTCTTGTAAACATAGCGTACCTGTGCTCCTATAGTATAGATGTGTGCGTCCCCCCCAACATTCACACGTTGAAGTCCTAACCCCCAGTGTGGTTGTTAAAGAGGGTTAAGGTTAAATGAGGTCATGAGGTGAGGTTCTGAGCAGCCATAATTAGGGTGTTTTTTTTTTTTTTTTTGGAAGAAATCCCAGGGAGCCTTCTTTCTCTTTACCCTCATCCTCTGTGAGAGCGCACATAGGGAAAGTCATGTGGGCACAGGTGAAGTGGTAGCTACTGTAAGCTGAAAGAAGGGATCTCAGAATGACACCTGCTTGCTGCACCTTGAGTGTGGACTCATGGTCTGGAGAACTCTGAAGACGTTAACATGTGCCAAGGCACCCTGTCAGTGGAGTTGGGTCATGTCAGCTTGAGCAGACAAATGCAAAGCGCACACACAGCTCTTTCCTTGAGATAGATCCTCGTCGCTCCGTCTGGAGTCAGGGCACTGGCCTAGCCTAGTGAGCTCCCCAGAACGTCACCCTTCCACATTGTCCCCACACTCCTGGGCCTAGCTTGACTAGTGTACCTTGCACAGCAGCCCAGGCTGCCCTAGCCAAAGCTTTCTTGGTTACGACTGAGTTGGGATCACTCCTGTCCCTCCAATCAAAACTCAGCGCTGAGTGTCTGAAGGACTGAACTACCAACATCTCATACTTGATCTGAAATCAACCGAACTCCCACCCAAGAGAGGCAGGCTTGACTCTTATCAGACACGTAACTAACAAAAGAAGCCCACAAGTCCAGGTCACATGAGAAACAGTATGAAAGGCCAAGACAATGTGCCCTCTCCTGCCCACATCCTCTGGTCCTGTAGAAATGCCCCCCCCCCATGAGAATTACTGAGATGAACCCCAGGGCACAGAATTCAAAAGAGCAGTCAGGAGCGTGATCAAAGAATTCAACGAGTTTAAAGAAGACACTAACACCTCTGTGAACTTGAAGATCATAGGAATAAACTCCCGAGTGATGCCCAGGAAAAAAAAAATACACAAACTCATGACTGAATGAAACAAAGACAACTCAGGATCTAAAAACTGAATTCATAAAGAGAGAAACATACCAAAGAGAACTCAAGCTGAAATGAAGATTTGATGGAAAAGCTGAAGGCCCTACCCCCTCCCACTGTGCCTTTGATTCCAAACCCTCCTGCTAGCACGTCCAGGACCCCTTGGCTGGTGACTGACGTCCTCTGTTGTCTCCATCTCTCTGCCAGAGCCTCACAGCCAGGCCTTTCAGGCCTGCTGCTGTCTTTCCTTCTGGGAAAGGCCCGCTTGAGTGCCTCGCCTTGTCTGCCCACCACCCTGTCTCTGGTTCCTTACCTTCCATCTCCTGTATAAGAAAGGTCTTCACCTTCACCCACCTGCTGAAGTGATCTCCAGATTGTCCCACAACTTCCTTCTTCTTGCCTTTGAGAGCTCAATCCGCATCTTGTGTGAGATTGCTCCCGACTGAACATGTGACCCAGAATAGCTGGTCACTGTCTGCTGTATCACTCTGTCAGTGGGATGGCAAAAGCTTTTTATGATTGCTATTACGTAAACATCAAGGAGGATTCATCATAGGAGCCGGGCAGCTCTGCACTCTTTGGCTTATATGTGTGTGCTGTTCGTGCATGCTTGTATACACAGGAACACTGTCTTGTTCCAGGGACGGTGTCACTGCCGGCACTATACAGAAGTTCCTGTCTATGCTCTTTCCTACCAGGTTTCTAACAGGAGGGCAGCCTATACACACAGGTATGTGGGCAAGGGTGACTTGTGTCCCAGCTGGCGTAGAACAAGGAGGTACAAGATTTCATCGTAGACCTCAGAATACAAGAAATGCAAGGTTTAGAAGTTGTTTGTTTCTAGCATTTTTCCCCATTTAATATTTTGGGACCACAGTGGATGGCTGTAGATAGTTGAAACCGCAGAAGGTAACGTGAGGACAAGAGAGGACTTCTCATATGCAAATTCCTTTGTGTCCCGTCAAATGCTTCAGCCTCCAGGTTTTATTACTGA